ATTCAGAAGTTGTCAGTCAGTAGAAAAAGGAACCAAGCATTTTCAATCTGCAGTTGCATAAATTACTTGCTTGAAGAAAGAGCCCTAGGCACTACAAAATGTAAAGTGGTAGACACTATTATAATTTGTAAAGGGGAGATGTCCTCTTGTTTCTCTCCACAGTCTCCTAGTTTCAATGCACATAAAAATTGTCTGTAAGCTGTAACGAAGAGCGGGGAATGACTTTTCAAAGGCACGCCTACTATATAATCTGATTTGCACTAACACATGGGAAAGTAGTATCAGCATGATAACCCTACTCCTCTAATAATTTGAGAGCCGTGTGAAGAGGAACATCCCAATCGACCATGTGCTTTATATGCATGCCATTATTAGAATCAAATAAACTAGCTTTTAACAACTATTAATATATGCTTGGTTTTCTATGAAAAATATACAAACATGGCATTTACAATACTTCTGGAATAATTTTGGACATGGGGATAGATTTTCAAGCAAGATTATAGATGGTTCCAAAGGTATTTCCAATATGAACTCCAAACTCTGTGAGTGTGGAATCAGAGGGCTGTATCCAAAGCAACACCGAGTGACATGTCCCATCAGCACAAAGAATTCCACTTGCACAATGGGACTTCTGCTCTCTTGTCACACTTTGCACCCTCTAAATATGTTCTAGGGGTCTTCCACCAACACTCTAGTGCAGATTTTGTGAGGGTATGGGTCATACACAGGATGAAGGAGGGGGGAAAGTCCTGTTACACAAGCCAAAATCATGTTAGTTGGATACTGTCTATGGCAAGTATGTAGTAAATCTTTCAATGGTGAAATAAAAAATCTTATGAGTTGGATGCAGAGCTCCTCTGAGCATGCCTCTTTTCATGGGATGCTGCTGGAGGAAGTGGGGAAAATAAGGCAAATTTCCTGGTTCCTTCTTCCCTCTCCAGTCCTCTAGTCCCCTGAAGGTTGGGAACAGTGTAGGAGGTAGTGCAGGAACCGCAATCTGTCTCCCCTTTCCTCCAGCGGAAGTCTCCCATGAATGGGAGCCCCTTCCCCTGTGATCCAACTCTCTCTCTCTCTCTCTCTCTCTCTCTCTCTGCATGGCAAGGTCCCGAGCCCTCCCCCATTCCCTGGATAATAAAACACACGGACACTTTTGGGTTAATTGGATAATAAAGGCCACAACTTTATTGGTTACAGATGTGAATGGTGATCCGATGAAGGAGGAGGTAATGAGAGCAAGCTCTTCAGCCATGAACCAGTTTAAATGGGGTAAGCCACGCCCCCCGGTCGATTGGATTGGTCGGCCGGGGGGCATGATGTGGCCGAGACTCCCAGTGACGCGGGCGGCTTTGCCATGCCTCCCGCTGTTCACAGGGAGTGCACGAGGCCTGTCTGCAACACCAGCCCTCTTGGAAGTGGAACGTCTCTCTCTCTCTCTGGATCACCAGTTAGTTTTGTGACCCATGCCAAATGTGCCTGGATGCTGAAGACAGTGACTGCCAGTTATGCCTTGGTGAACCCTGGGCAAGATGCTTGAGGAATTAACTGGTACCACTTGACTACTACCATCTTTAGCCTGATGTGAGAGTATAATGCCTCCTTTGGCATTTGCTTTCTTTCCAAATCAAATTCAATGTGCTTTTAACAGTCTATGTCCTCAATATCCCTCTTATGATTGCCTCCGCACATGAGATTTCAGTTCATTCAGTGTCTAACTGTCATCTCTTAGGAGCAGGATTTTCTTCTGGGGTGGCCTTGACATTGTGAAATGCTGTCTTCTGGACATATTTTTAAAAATCAAGGCTTCATTATGAAGTTAAAATCCAGTAAGAAATATGAAATAATAAAAAATAAATAAGAATGGGGGGGGGGAACTGTAGGGGAAAAACAGGGGCTGCAGCCATTACCCCATAAAATAAAGACCATTCTTAATAAACTACACAGTGAATCAGTTGTTGCAATGAAAGCTGACCTGAGAAAGAAAGAATACAAAACAAATATTATGAATACCAAATAGAGCCATATTTCATCAGGACTTGCATCCCCAAGACTGGGCTGTCATATAAGTAACAAATGGCCACAAAATGGAGGCAAAATCCATAGGTTTAGCTGCACCCTGAGATACCCAATTTATAAGCCAATTTCTCAGCTAAGAGATTGAACATTATTGAACCAAATATTTGAAGAAAAACTGGCGGGCTACTTCCAGCCCTGTGATATTGTCAAACGAGCAGCTACGAATAGAAAAATTAAAAGTGGTTTACATATTAAGTCCATATGCAACCCGTCAAAAATTGATCAAAGAGACAGTTTGGGGTTTAAAGGCACCAGTTATTATTTCAGAAATATTGTTCATTACCTTTCCCCAAAATTTGTACACATGTTTGCAAGAGTATCACATGTGCCAATAGGTTCCTCTTCAGTTACCGTACATTTCCTCCATCATGTAGCGGAACTGATTCTAGCTACATATGCAATATGGACTTAACCATCAATTGGTCATTTCTAAGGAGTTTTCTAGGATAGTTACAGTGACAGATGACCCAATACTACAAGTGGTCATTTGACTGCTTTTCTCATTTAGGAAACATTTTATTCCTCCATGAATTTAGAAGCAAAGGTTTTACCATTTTGCCACTGATGTTGCTGTGAGAGTTCTTGATGTTTTATATTTTGATGTTTTCAAGTATCATTATTTTTTCCCCTGTGAATTGCTTTGAAAATGCAGTCAAAAGCTAGTGTCAAAATGGTAAGTAAATAAATAAATGAGGATTCAGAGTTAATAATGGCTCAGATAGATAACCGTTAGCATTTCAGAAGATGCTGTTAGAAGAGATAATGCATTTATCTAGGAAAGGTTATATCATATTTTTAACAGCAGCTAGCTGCTGTGTTAGAGCAGCTTGTCCTAATGAGAATAACTGAGTGGTATTTGGAATAAGGAACTAAAGTAAATACTGTACGTTTATAAAGGGGAGAAGAAAAAAAGCAAGAAAAGAAAATGGATGTCTGACTTTAGGGGATCACAACTGGAAGGAAACACTAAATTGATGTACAGCCAAACCACTCCAAAAGAAAAAAAGAAAATTGAGTCAATAAATAAAATAATTATCACGGTGTTGCAAGGACATAAACAACATCATTACTTAACAGCCAATGCCACACTGAGTACTTTGGAACATTTAATATCCATGTAGACATATGTGTAAAGAATAAAACAGATTGTCAGTTCCTTGTTACACACATATTGGAACGAATTCCAATATTTGGAATTGAACTACTGAAATACACAAAATCTGATGTTGCCCACATATTATTTCTACACTTTGGCTGTGATAGACCAAGTTAATGAAAATCATATTATGAGGTGGGCAATCCCCAGAGAGTCATTATTATTGAATTGTGAAGCTGCTAGTGAATCACAAAGTTCCATTTAGTGGCAATCTTCTCAACATGCAGTTTGGCATATCTTCTCCCATATTGAAATACGGTTGTTGTTTTCCTTTTCCCCTTTGCTAGTTTTTGGAAGCCTCCTCCAGATTTTGCTCCAGGCCAACTGTATAAGCAGACAAAAATAATTTGAAGTAAGATGTTTCAGGTTGGATTGGATTTGTTAAATAGACATGTTTCTCTAGCTGTTTTCCCTCTTGCAATATCTCTAAGACCCCAAATGCCAAAATCGATGCTTATGTTGCTTTATATCTGCAGGGTTGGAAAATCTGTCTCCTAAACCATCAGGTTTGAGCTACAGAGTGGGTTGAATGTTGCTATTTGTTTCTTATTATGAACACTTTATACCTTCACTTCAATTTGTACTAAATATGTCTGCTTAGTGGACATTTGGATATGAGGGTGGGATCAGCTCTAACGATCTATGCCACCTAGCTGCGTTCTTTCCACATATTTTCAGTATGAATAATAGATGTTTATAGCTCCTATTTGCCTTAAAGCAGACCGGTGCTGGGAATAATCTGGTTTAGTGATAATGCAGGAAAGTAATTCCAATTTGGGCTAGTGTCAGAACTTTCAGATTCTAACCAGTTATGTTTCCACTCCCAATTGCGTCTCAATAGGCAAGTAAAGAGGCAGACACATAAGCTGGGGTTGTACTGGGTCACTTTATTTAAACCTCAAATTAAAATCAGCAGAGGGGGATGACTATGGGACAGGAACTAACTTCACTGTATAACTATAGCCGTTGGGAGACCCGCCATTGCCTAAGGAATTAGGGCATGGCTTCCTAACCTGCCCCAATTCCTGGGCCACACCCTGAAGGTGAGAAGGCAGGCCTTACCTTGTCACTACCCTCTTGGACCACCGAACCCCAGGTGGATGAGGGAGCTTGGCCTCAAAGGAGGCCCCTATTTCACCCTCTGAACCGCAGAGTCAAAGAAGTGAGTCTTGGGGCCAACCCATCACCTGAAAGGTGCCTAAAGGACAACCCCAGGCTAAACCAAACTATTTCTTTTCCTGCACCTAAACTGCCCGTAGTGGCCAAAACCTATTTAAACAACACAGCAGTCCATCTAGCACCTTGTCCCGCTATTCAGTGTGAAGTAGGCAAAAAACCAATCTGCGGTCCAAAATGTGGATTGGAAAAAAATCCTACTTGGCCCCTAGTGGTGACCCCAAAGCACATTGGGAGACAGGGAGTGAGGTCGGGCGCTGCTGCAAATGGAAAGGCTGAAGGGAAATCAGCCTGTCCTTAAATAGTGATCAAGCCCTGCGCCCCTCCTCAGACCACCTTAGGAATGTACGAATTGGTGCCAAGGATTTTCCTGCTCTGTCTCTCTTGCCCGACATTCTAGGCACTATCTAGGCCTTTTGGCTGAACATTCTTCCTTAAATATTATCAGTTTATCATTTAAATAGTGGAAAGAGTGTCAGAATAGGACCTGGAAGTCCATTGTTCAAATCTCCACTTGGTCACGAAGCTTACTAGGTGACCTTGTCTTAGTCACACACTCTCAGCCTATCCTAATTCACAGGGTTGTTGTATGGATTAAGCTCAGTTGGTTAGAGCATGGTGCTTATAACGCCAAGGTTGCAGGTTTGATCCCTGGATGGGACAGCTGCATTGCAGGGTGTTAGACCAGTTGATCCTCATGGTCCCTTCCAACTGTACAATTCTATGATTCTATAAAATTAGGAGGGTGACAACCATGCACACCACCTTGAGTTTCTAGGAGAAAAGGTGAGATATAAATGCAATAAAATGAATAAGGGTTAGAGAACCTGTGGTCGTCTAGATGCTTGTTGAACTATAACTACCATCATCCCTGATCATGGGTGGAGCAGGACATCCACTTAGGAGGCCTCCTTGTTGCAGCCATGGAAATCTCTGTAGCTGCTCCTTCTCCATTGTTGTGCTTTAGTGACAGAAAAAGCAATGAAATGCTGTCTCAGAAGCAAATTGCGTGAGACTTTGCATATGCTGGATCTAAAGCCTTCTCGTTTGTACACTAGTCCTGGAGCTGGCTGGGCGGGGGGGCGGGGGAATCAAAGGAAAGTGGTCATTGTGGTGGTGAAGAAAACTGCCTGCCTCACCCTTTCTACCCTACCAGTGTGAGACCAATACGTTTTTGGATTCAGCAGGTTTTCTGCCTGCAGGTCTGTTTCTCCTTCACTTCCTTTAGATTATCCCGTTCAAGTAGTTTTAATCTAAGGTGCACTTAATTACACCAGGTGGCTAACTTCTGGTCCTCCAAATGTGATTGGACTACAACTCCCTAGGCATTGGTGATGCAGGCAAAGGCTGCTGGGAGTTGTAGTCCAAGAACCTCTGGGAGGCCACAGATTTCTCATCCCTGGTTTCTGCTATCCCTGCTACAAGGAAAGCTTTCCATTCTTTTTTCTTCTTTACTGTTGTTTTGAAATTACTGCATGTTGCCTTTAATCTTGTTTATAAGCTGCCTGAGGAATGTTACTTGATGGTCGTATTAAACTAAATATTATTATTATTGATGATGTTTATGAACACAGCTTGCATTTGAGGTTCAAATGCCTCAGGAGCGTGCTATTGGTAATAACCAACTATTTAAGAGCTGCTTTCTTCCTATTTCTAATTTCCCTTTTAATAACTGAAATTATTTTTTTGTTTTTTTCTCATATCTTTGTATATCTAGAATGTGGGGACATTATGCTCTGTGGGTATGTGGGATCCCCCTCCCCCATACACAGTTATTCTCCCTAGCCTAATAACTTCCAATTGTTGTAAGACTCCAATTCCCATCATCTCTGAACATTGGCCATTCTTCCTAGAGCCAATGGGAGGTGTAGTCCAAAATAGCTTGGGGAGGCTGCTCTATAACATGTTCATCCTTTCCCAGCACCCTTGAGTTCTAGGCCACTCCTCTCCATTATGTATGCATGAATGTATCTTTTTCTCTGCTTCCCCTCCAGATTCACTTTTGCTGTCTCTTCTCTAATTACAGTATTCTAAAGCCACCAGGGCAGCATCAATTTGCACTGCAGGAAGAGCAGAACAAGTCAGAACATCAGATAGGAGAATTCTAACAGGTCAGAATATTGGAAAGCTGTCAAAATAAGATGCCAGGTCATGAGGGGGGAAGAGGCAGGTGACAGCCCCTAGAAGGAACCTGCATGCCATCCATATCAAACGGGCTCATTTAGCCTTCTGGCAGAGCATCTCCTTTGAAAGCTAAAATGCTTACTCTGAGAATGCAAGCTGAGCATTGAAACAGCTTAAATAGAAGTTGCAGAATCCCCCAGAGCTTTAGAACAGAGGTAAGTGAAGCTTACTAATTCTTGCCATTCTTATTCATGCATAGCTATAGCTCTGAAACACGTGAGAAGGGTTGTGGAGATGGGCATGATAGTTTTGCCCCTGGTTACCATCCCCCACAAGTGGCAGTCTGAAGCCTGTACTTACAAAAAAGGTAAAAGGTAAAGGACTCCTGGACGGTTAAGTCCAGTCAAAGGCGACTATGGGGTTGCGACGCTCATTGTACTTGCAGAGGCTACATGTCTAAACGTAGCTCCATTTCCAGCTTTGATATTGGAACAGTCCATCAAATCATACAGGACTTTTCCTTAATTGGAAATGTATTGGAATTATGTTCATAATCAAATTTGACTAATTTGAAAGAGGAGGAGGACGTGATTGTAGGGAGGCTGAACCTGACTTACTGGGAAGGCCTCTGTTCAGCAGAAGTTGCAATGCCCATGAAGAAATGCTATGTTTCTCCCCCCCTCCCTCCACCTGCCCCCAGAGCTGCCAAATTCCACACTCTTCTCTCCCACAGTTTTGCACCCTGTGGTGACAAAGACTGATAGGAGAATTAGGAGGAGAGGACGTCTGAGCACACTGAGGCCAGCCTAGAGCTTGAGAAGGTAAACTTTTAATTCTTTAATTTGGATGGAAATGACACCTCTGCTAACCCAGGAGCAAAACTTTGCCATGATGGATGTGAGCTGTTACTAGGCTGTGTTACAGGCACAAAAGCAAAGCAGCTGGGGAAGTTTTGTGCTCATAATCTGCCATGTGAAGCTACATGTACAGCTGGCGTGCATGTCTATTTTTATCTTCCTCCTCCTCATCACTACCAGCACTATATTTACTTTTTGGGTGCAGATTTGTTCAAAGTACGCCTTAAGTTTCATACACATTAAAAGAAAATTGGAATGGAAAGTACATATAGCATTCTTCTTGTTCTTTGTGGTGTTGTTGTTTTTAAATCGTGCATGCTGTTGCCTCTAGACTGGTCTTAGGATATCAGTTGGTTCGTTCCACAGGACAGAATCATATGTCATAAACTCCCATGGAAAGTACACTTTTCTGTTTATAACTGTGTGAATGAAATTCATTGCTCAAGCCAAAATGAATGTGAAAGTGTTGATTTTAACTCTCCGGGATCAATATATGTATATCTGAAAAACTAAAAGTGAAACTCTTTTTAAGTATACATGACTGTATAGTTAAATGTGGACAAAACAAAAAAGATTTATTTGCTCATCACTCCCCTGTTTTTATGCCAAGTCAATAATTTTCTTTAAAGTGAATATTCTTCCATCATTGTTGGAAGAGTGTTCCATTTTCTTTCAGAATAAAAATAATCACATAAAAAGCCATCTTCTTTGATGGGAAAGGGGAGGAATATGCCTTTTAGAAGCCTCACCCCACAGCAACTCCTAAGTTGGCTTGATTTCGCTTCCACGCGACCACCTACCACAAAAGTGATGTCCCAAGTGACCAGTCATTTGGGAGGAACAGACTAACTTATGAAAAAAAATCCTTTGCTGGATTTTTTTAAACATCAACTTGACAATTCTATGGTTCTGTCAAACTGCACCTGCCTTTTATTAAGATGAACTGATGATAGTCTCTGGATACTGAGAAGATATTATGGATGGTTCCTGTCCAGAAAGCAAGAGCTTTCTTTGAGATAAGGAGAAGAGCTTTCCTCCCTCCCCCTTACTACTGCATTAAAAACAAGAAGGCACATTGATATAAGTAGCTGAGCAAAGAAATGTTATCTGCTACTTCTGCGAGTATTGTGGCAATTGACTAGCTATTTTTCACTTCAAGACTCAAAAGAAAAGGAAGACGTCAGCACACTGTGAACATATAGGCATATTTTTGTGCTGGAACAAAATCTTGTTTCAGTGAATTGTTGAACTATACGTCTTTGTCATATTCTTCCCTTCTGGGTTTTTGATATCATTTGTGTACCTAGCACATTTCCATATGGATTTCATGTTGTGGGTTCTTGTAGAACTGCATCATTCATTCATGCGGTGTCAGACATTGGTGTCCTTCACCATTCCAAACATTTGCCTGACTCAAGAAGTATGATTAGAAAGAGAAAGGTGGAATCTTCAACCAGATGGTGAGTAAATGGTGAGGCATAGGGTACATGACTTGCACAGAAGCAAAGTGTACTCAAAACCATTCTGAAAGGAGATTTTTTTAAAAACTGAATAAGTGTAGGAATTTGCTGCAAAATGTCTTATTCTGATTTCCCCAACTAATCAAATTGTTGCACTTTTCCAGTATGGGGAGTTTATTGCCAACTGGAAAAAATGTATATCCTCTCTCCCTCTTTCTCCTCTCTCTCTCTCTCAGTGGCTTCATCTGCACTATGCATTTAAAGTGTATCACAACACTTTAAACAGTCTTCGTTTCCCACAAAGGCTCATGGAAACTGTAGTTTGTTAAAGCTGGTGAGAGTTGTTAGGAGGCTCCCCAACCACACCCACACCATAATAGGTATATCATGATGTACTTTCCTGAGAAACAGCTACATGTTTAGGAGATATCATTTTTCTGCATTATATAGCTGTTTATAGTCAGATATGCAGTATACTATATGTAGTAAAGAGGCATGGCTAAGATATAAAAGGTGCTGAATTGGAAAAAAATCTGATAAACTGAGAATTTCATTTGTAGAAAAACTAACAATATACTTGTCAATTATAGTGAACATAAAGGAGCTTAAGAAACAGATCTCTGGAATTTGTGTCTGGCAAGGCAAAATGTTTCAAACGAGGATTTTGTACAATATGCTTCGTTTGGGGAAAGCTGTACAGAGGCAATGATGGGTAGCAAAAGATATTAAGCTTTCATCTAATTCTTATCAAAAGCACAATACTGAGACAGATATAAAAGTGCTCAGTTCCAATTGATTGAAGTGGGGGGGGGCACACTGAAGAGACTTGACAATCACTCTGTAACAAAACAGGGCTTTTGTGTTCAGAACAATGTTGGTGGCACCAAAGACGTGATCAAAAAAGATACAGAAAGGAAGGCTACTCAACTGAAAATGAACATTCTTGTTTTCTTATCCCTTTTCTTTAAACTGCACTTCCCCTAACAGGATTTATCATATTTCACAATGCATATAGACCTTTCATGACATAAATAAATTAATTTTGGCTCAGTACAATGGAAGAATATGTACATATTTTCAGAGCAAGATTTTCTAGGTTCAGAAACTTACACTGCTGTTTATATGCAGTATTAAATTATGAAGACTATTTTGATGATCTACCTCTTCCCCCTAACACTTTCTGATATGAAAAAAGCAGCTTCAAATGTATGTTTCCCCCACA